GATGAATGAAAAATTAATAATTTTCTTTTTGCCAAAAACCCAATCGTATCAATATAATGAGCAGTTAAACAAGAAACCCATCTGCTATTGTATTGATGTCCAAAGGTCAGATGTTAAACAAACTCTGCTAGTGATTTTTAGAAACTGCTCCGAATTATGCTTCTCCTTATGAATAATATTAATTTTTTTGCAATCACTTACTTACAGTGTTTCTAGAAAAGTAATTACAGTCTTTACGAAGATACAACAAGAGCTCGAACTCCAACCCACTCCACACATTGAAAATGGCAAATCGTGCTATGATGATAGAAGCAGAAACGAGGTAATTCACGAAATTTCAGCATGATCAAACTTGTTTATCACACAGGAATTGAAGATTCAGTGTTACTTTGTTAAGATCAATTTGTCTATATCACGCAGTACTCTTTTCTTATAATTTCAAGGTGGCGTCTAAGATTCCAGTTTTCATCACTACAGAAATCACTTATTACGCGGAATTTTCCGGACAGGCTTTCGGCGCGTCAAATTTCCGGCGGCCGTTCCGGCGGTTTTTGACGGCTTAAAATTTCCGGCGGCGTTCCGGCGGCTTTCCGGCCGTTTTCCGGCGGCTTAATTCCCCGCGGAAATTTGCGACGCTAATTTTCCCGCAAAATTATCCCGCAGAATTTTCCGGCGCTTTCCGGCGGCTTTCCGACGGCGTACCGGCGGCTTATACATAACTAGTTTATTTTAATAATCAATAAATAAAAATTTAAATTAATAATGTTTAATTATATATTCAGAATGTTTTAAGTTATAAAATAAAAAAAATTACTTAATTTACAGTTTGCAGAAACGGGCATTGGTCCAGGGGCGGGCAGCGGGAGAAGGAGGTCCCCGGTTCGGAAACTCACGAAGACAGCGCAGAGAGGAGCGGGCTCGTTGGCGCACTCAAGGGCTCGCCTGGCTCACGCGAGGCGGTCGACGCGGTCTGGTCGGCGCGACTCAAGCCCCCCTGGCGCGACGCCCGCCGGAGCGGGTTGCTTGGCGTGCCGCCGGAGCCGCGGGGACGGGTTCAGCGGGACGCCGTTCGTGTTTTTTTTTTTTTTTTAAAATTTCCCACCGCGGTTTTTTGACCGCCGGCAAACCGCCGGATTTTTTTTGCCGCCGGGAAAACGCCGTCGGAAAGTATTTTCCTACGCGTTTTTTCCGGCGGCTCGAAGCCCCGGAAAACAGCGGAAAATTAAAAAAACCGCCGAAATTGCCAAAGCCGCCGGAAAAAAGCCGCGAAGTGCGGTGATTTTCCTGTAGTGCATTTTTTGCTATCACAATAGGTAAGTACGTGCCACATTCTTACATTTACATTTTTGTTTTCCATCTTGTCGTATTAGGATAACATCTCTATGGCCCCAAACAAATGAGGTCATCCTTCGACTTTCTTAGTAACTGCCACCTCATTACATAGCTCGTTAGAAGGCTCTACCACATTTTCAGAAGTCCGAACTTTCTTTTATTTCATCAATGATAAATTCTCAGGAATGATGTTCGAAATCCTCCATCTAACAAACAATAAAATATATTACAAATTTACATTACAATTCTAACTACTTGTTTATTTTCTTTCTTTAAAAAAAAGACATTAAACGTTCGAAACTATAACTCAAATAATTCTTCCCCATTTATTACTGCCTAAGAACAACTTCTCCAAGAACTTAAGAATAACAACAATGAACTGACAATTGCCAAAACAACATCTCCAAGACTA